CTCACGCACCCGTCCAGCCCTCCGGCCTCGGGGCTGCCACACCGTCAGGCTGCAGGGAGCAAACCACGCTGCTTCTGCTGCCCACATGCCACTGCCTGCTGCCCCAGTCAGGGCAGGTCTCTGTGCACAGAACCCACAGCAGCCTGCTAGTGCAGCCCTGCTGGGAACAGGGAGGAAAACACCCAGTGGGAAGCAGTGGTCCTGTTTTTGGAAGCTCTCCCTTGGTCCTGTTGACCTTGGACACCAGGTTGCCTCAGGAAGCCATTCCCACAGGTGAGCGGCATGTCTGAAGAGAACTCAATGAATGTTTAAGCATCTATTTACCTGCTGAGTTGGCTCAGACCTTGACCTGTTTCAGCAAAAGTAGAATTTCTTAGATTCTCTTTTCCAGACCTTGGCTAGATAAGCCCTTTGACTGCTGCAGCAAGCCTTGCGCCTGAAGTTCAGCAGAGATGCAATCTCTTGCCCCTCAGTCGCTGTGCCTTGCCCAAATCAAACAACATAGCTCAGTTTAGCTTTTTTTTTTTTATGTTGTGCATCCTATCGTTTGCCTGAATGCTGCTGAGAGAGTGCTGCTGTATTAGTCAGGGCATCCTCAAGTGATACAAGAGCCTTGAGGCAATGGGCAAAGCGTGCGAGGCTTTGAATCTCATTCAGGCATTGATAATTGCCAGTCTAGATAGCTAAGCCATTACGAAGATGCAATACAGTCAGCTCTTACATCATGCCCATTTAGGGGAGAAAAATTCAGCAATGAAGAGATGCTACGATTGACAGATCCAAGGAAAACCAGCTAGGTTATTTTTCACAGCAAGAGATAGCTAACTACATGGATTAGCAGAAGATCAAGGGAGTATGAAGAGAGACCCACTTCTTTGGAATGAGGTCTTTGATTCCTCCAGAAAAAGATTATGAAGCCATTTAAAGAAAGAAAGGAAGGGGAGGGGGGAAATAACCTGAGAAATATTAAAGATGGACTCAACACAAGGTTAAGAGGCTTCTACTTCACCCACAGCCACTAGACGTGACAAGGGCTCCCAGAACAGCTCTCCTATCGAAGGGATAATGGGCAGGTTTGACTCCAAGGTTTGCTTGCTGCTTCCCAGAAATTTGGCTGTTTCTGAGGAAACCAACAGCCAGTCTGTACCAGCATTCTTGGACAAACATCTCAAGAAACTATAGAAAATTTCTATCTACCCATCTTGCACTGTAAAACAGCCCTGGGGATGGGATTTAATCCCTGGCTTGGCTCGTACCCCAGAATTTGCCAACAGCAAGGTAGATTTCATTTCAGAATCACAGCGAGAGCTGTAGCTTAATATTTCTCATGGAAGATATCAGTGTTAGTGTTGTTGCTATGGTTATTTCATAGAAGCCCAAGATATAATATGTACATTGAAAGAAAACATAGCAATATCTCTTTAGAAACTCTGTGTTTTGTGTGCGCAGTGCATCATACAGCAGCCTATGGAAAGGCCCACCAAGAGCAACATGCTGTGCACAGGGCTGGAAGTCCATGCCAGCACCGCTGCTTGGGTATTGGGTCACGCACAGCTCCCCGAGCTGTTACAGAGAGCTTGGGGGGGTGGGGCAGAATGTGATTTTCCCACTTTCTGTTGTTTCTTTGTGAAGTGTTTGCTTCGCAGATGTTATCCAAAGAGCCCTGGAAAGTTTTGTCCAGGGCAATAAAACAGCAAATAAAGAATATGCTCATCCAGGATGAAATTTTAGATGAGTGTTCTTGTTAAACTCTGCATGGTTTTCAGGTGACACCAGTGGTTGTTTTTTGTGAGTATCTATCTGAATCAGCTGAATGACTGTGAACAGCAAATAAGCCCATGAACCACAGCTAACCAAGCTCTGCGTCTGCCTTATTAAGTGATGGATGCTGCTATCACAGTTCACTTAGCACTACTGCTACGGCACTAGAGAGATGGGTACTCCTTTTTAACTTCTTACTTGGCATGCAACCTGTTACCTACTGGCAAATAGTGAATTTAAACCTTGTTTTCTGAAGGGGTCCTGCAAGAGCATATCAGAGAAGCTCAATAGCCCAGATAAGTCCCCTGCATCCAGAGCAAGCACCAAGTGGGGGTCTCTGTGCCACAGGGCTGTCCCTTCCTGCCCCCAGGCCAGGTCCTGGGTGACTCCATGCTTTTCTCAAGCGTTGCTGAACTGCCTTTTCTGTTGATTTTTCATCCCTGTTCTGGACTCTGAGTGGGGGGGGAGGCTTTTTCCAGTTAGTCCTTTTAAAGTAGGACCTCCCAGGACTTTTTTTCTTCCTGTGCCATACGACACGGCACCTCCCAGGCTTTTTGTGACCATCGCCCGGTTTGCCCCAAGGCTGCCATCACTCATCTTTCCACTCTCGAAGGAAACTTTCCAGTTGCTGGGAGAAGCCCGTCCACTGTACCTTATAACTGCGTCTCATTTACGTGCTCAGCTCATGGTAAGAACTTGTGCTACAGCAACCAAAGGATGCTGGTTTTTGCAATCTTTGGGAAAAAGTCTCTTAAACTTCTGAAGATATTTGAGTGGAAACGGGCTGCTACTTTTCTGTAGTGGAAACCAAAAACGCCATACTGACATCCACCTTTCCACAGGGAAGAAATAATATTTTAATAAAGTGGAATACATGGTAATTTGAGGGCTGTTCACTAAAAGTTGATGAGGAGTGAGGAACAGTAAAAAGGCAAATGACAGCTTCTCTTAATAATTAAATGAGGTGATGTTCATTAATTAGAGGTGCTTTTAACATTTTGAAAAACTCCCAATGATGTTTTTCAACTGAAAACAGACCCTGCTCCACACAGAGAGAGGGCAGTGCCTGCACCCAGCAGCAGGCTGCCTTAAACTCCCGTATTCAAGTAATTGTTAGTTTCGAAGTGAAGTGCCTCGGGGATCGTGTATTCATCCATTTCTGCTGCCAGTCATGATGCTCTGCTCTCTTCTCCTCGTGCAGACGTTGCAATGTACACCTGAGGTGCAGGGATGTGGCCGAGTGGGGTGAAGTGGCCTGGAAGTGAGGACCTGACCTTTCTCTCCTGTTCCTTCTCACTGCGCAAATGGGATTCCCTTCTTTGGTCTGTCTTATCCTGCCCCAGGAACGTGGTGGGAGCACGTCCTTGTCCCCGCCAGCAACCCGGGTCCCCCCCGCCTCCTCCCCAGGCAGAAGCTCAGTCCAGGCTATCGCCAGGGTAGACTAGGAGCATCCCTGACCCCGAGCAGCCATGACTGCCTTTAAACTACTGAAAACCATCTCCTGGTTTTCACCAACTAGACAAACCCAGAGTCCTCAGCTGCTCCTCATGGGACATTTCTTCCAGCCCTTTCACCAGCTTTTTTGCTCTCCTTTGGACGCATTCAAGGACCTTAAATTGTGGGGCCCAGAGCTGCACACAGTATTTAAGGTGAGGCTGCACCAACGCTGAATACTTTTTATCCAAAGCAGTTTGTTTGGGCTTTTTTGCTATGAGTACTGTGTTTCCCTATGAATTTCAGGTCTGAGGGCCAGAAAACAACCACCCCGGCTGGTCCGTACCAGACACCCTCTGTCACCATTGCAGCACGTACCGGTCACCAGCACCGAGTTTTGAAGGATTACCCAGGAACTGTTTGGGCTCAAAACACACATAGCTTTATTCCTGAAAAAGACTTATGACTACTTAATCCAAAGTCTGGATGGGTAAGTAAGTAATAAATATTTTCCTGTCTTTTGTCTGTCTTCTCCAAGTAAGAGAATTCCCTTGCTCAAGCTCCACCAGGGAAGCTGAGAGGAGAAGTCTGGCCCCTCTGGTCTTGGTGCAATTTTTAAGAGGGATGGTATGATAGAGAAAGGGACAACACTGGCCAGGCCAGCGGGTCCTTACAGTTCCTGCTTCCCAGTGCCCAGCCACTGCCCCACACTGCTTGAGAAACCATGTAGCTATTCTGGTTTCTTTCTGCCTTTAATGTCTCTTTCCCCTGTCTTTTTCTTTTTTTCTCCCTCTCTCTCATGTACTAAATCTTTCCTTTGTTCTGTGTGCTTTTATTCACCTGCGTAGCTAAATTAAACTGTATTTTTCCCAGGACTGTAAACAAAACCTTCCCTCTTAGCCAGAGTCAATTCCCTTGTTTAAAAGAAACTCTTTTACAGAAATTAGTAATTACGCAGAATTATTTCATTCTTCATTTAGTGAATGCTACAGTCTTGATGAAATATTTTGTGGCCTTTTGTTTAGTGCCAGTGTAGGTTTATTTCCTGAATTAATATATTTATAATAAAAACAAAAAGACATTCTCAATGGACTAAATTTGTCCGCCTGAGTGCCACCTGAGGCTGCTGCTGCCGATGCCCTGCGTGCATTCCCGCTCCCCTCTCGGCCGGGGCTGGTTTTCAGCTGCTGGTTCTGCAGCTCCAGAAGCAGCAGAGGGAGGGGTGGGACAGAGCCAGGGCAGAAGGAGCGAGGGGAGGAGGAGCAGCACCATCTGAAGGGGAAATTGCTGTTGACAACCCTTACCTCTGCTGGGAGGCTTTGGTATAAATTATCTGGTGAAACTCCATACGGATGGAGTCAACCTGGATGTCCAAGTCCTTCCTTCAAACACATGTCAGAATGGGTCTGTTTCTGTTGCTCTGCAAAGCCCCGTTGGTGCCGTGGCATGTGTTACGAGCGGTGAGACAGGCCAGCGACTCGAGACAGCACGAGTAATGATGGAAACCGAGGTCCCGCTCCCTCTGCTAGTAATAAGATGGGAAACCCCAAAAGCATCATCCTGTCTGTGGACCTCCATGTCCCCTGCACATATACCTGCTCCTTGGACCACCTGCAGCTGTGGGCTCACAGGGAGGGTGCTTGAGAGGCTGTGCTCCCACTGCACCGAGTAAAGGGGGTGCTACTGTGATACAAGTCAAAAGTCAATCGTAAAACACCAGAGCAGCAACGTCGATTCCTGAGGAGAAACGGGGAGATGCCCTTTGATGTCCACCGAATCCAGCTAACTCACCTCAGCCCTTCGGCTCACAGGTCTGTGTTGGCCGTCTGGATATTTACGGTGGAGCAAATGGTCTGCGAGGCGGGTCCCTTCCTGTACCTGGCCTGCTCCATCCACACCTCGTGGCAGGACGTGACCACGGGCGGCAGCATGTTGTCCTGAGTCTGAGGCACCTTCTGGCACATGCAGAGCAGGGACTTGAGCTCCGAGCGGAAGCTCTCGTTCAGCCAGCAGTAGATGAAAGGGTTGTAGCAGGTGCTGCTCATGGCGAACCAGTGCAGGGCGAAATAGAGGGAGTTCTTTGTCTTGATGCCTAGACTGGAGATGAGCACCACGTAGCAGTTGAGAGGGAACCAGCAGACAGCAAAGACCACCACCACCAGCATCAGCATCTTGATGCTCTTCTTCTTGTTCTTGTGGTGGGTGATATACTGCTGTGTGGTGATGTCTCCAATGGCATTGCGGAGCCACAGCCTCTTGGCCAGGCGTATATAGGTGACAGTGATGATTAGCAGAGGCAGGAGGTAAAGGAGGAGGAAGGTAGACAGGTCCAGATACTTCCAGACCAGCTCTGCAGGCTCAGGAAAATCGGGGAGGCACAAACTCCGGACAGTGGCTTCCCTTGAGAAACAAAGAAATACATATATAGCATGTGGCCATTGCTGTGCAAATGGATGCTGCTAATTTGGCAAACCACAGTGGGGCTTCCACACCACCCACAACCACCTCCTCAGATTTGTAGTATGGACAGAGGAAGGCCAGATATTGCTCATCGCAACAAAGCAAAGCTCAGTCAAACCTGTTTCCCAGAAAGTCTTCTCATGATGTTCTTTGTGTCTGTCTCACCAAGGATAAGCCTGGCTACTCTGTATCATTATCGCCTTTCCCCTTAAACTGTTGTGTTGTCTGACAAAAGAAATTCTTAGAAAGACAAACTGGAGTTTCCTCTTAGAAGCTGCAGTTGATTTTAATTGAATGAGTCCCTCGTGCCCCCTTCACATGGCAAAAGTTGCCCCTGGTGGCCCATTCTTACAAAAGGGGCTACTGTGAAAGAAGCACTGACCCGGCTTATCTTCCCTTGTGCGTGGGCACAGAAACACAGCAGTGCCGGTCTTCTCTTCCCCAAAAACCCAGTGCAGGAAGAAATAGGGCAGTGGGTGAGACCCACCTAACTCCTGCTTTTCTCCAGTCCCACAGGCGATTCCTACGCACCTGGAAAAAGGACACATTATGCCCAGGTTTCCCTGAAAGTGCCCACCCAGAAATCCAGCCCGGGATGTGTTACTCCTCTTGCACACGGGTTGCATGAACTGTTGTCTGGCCAAGCACAACTAACCTGATCTTCCTGGGACACGGCAGAGTCACAGCACGTGCTCGGATCACTGCTGCAGCACGCTCGCAATAGCTCTGACTCGTCTTTGCCGTGTTGGATCTGCAGTCCGTGCCCTACATGGGTACACCCGCCTTTCTGTGCCCCCGGGCAGGTACAGGACCCCCTCGGCCAGCGCAGAAAACTGCTGCACCAGCTGGGAAGTCAAAGCCATTACGGATGGAAGCAGAAGGGGCTGCTGGAGGCTGGGGGCCATGTGAAAGCCTCGCAGGCCACGACCCCCCCTGCCCGGACAGCACTCCCTTCCTTCCTGAACCAACTATCCCGCTTCCATCAGCTTCTCAGGAGCCCAGCTGTTAAAACCTTATTGATACATCTTAAAACAGGCATGATGATTAGAAAACCTGGTTGCTTAACTCAAGTTTAACTTCTGATAGTTAGCTAACAAAAGAACTGAGTTTAACTATATGCAATAGCTTATTTTAACAGCACTTCAGCAATCTGTCCCGTTCAACCCGATGGATCCAGACTCTGTTCACATTTTCTGGCTGGCAGCGGCTCTCAGTTGATGCACCCCAGCACCCTCCGCAGAGCACCACGTGTCCCCTCCACATCCCACAGTGACTGGAAATGATGAAACATTAGGAGAAAGGAGCACTCACACATTTATTTCTCGTGCATGTTTTCTCCTTTCCTTTCCTTTTTTTCCCCTCTTTTTCTTCCTCTTATTCCATTTTGCCCTTCTCACGTTAGCCCTTGTCCTCTGCTCACTTGTATTCAGCACAGACTTTAGTCCCCATCAAGCTGCATTATTTGTTGCAGTATTGATTAATATCTTTAATATCCTGTTTTTAACCCCTGGAGCTGGCTTTTGTGCCACAAATAGAAGATTGCTTGAAAACAGACGGCTGCAAGCAGGGCCTGTGCGCGGCTGTCGGGGGGATGACAAAGGGTGGGGGAGCAGAGCTCCACCGAGCGTGGCCATGGAGGACCCTGAAGACGTTTGTCAAGAGGGGAACTGACGCAGAAGGGAAAATCATCCTCTGTGAACCGCGCACCCA